CATTTTTACCAGCGTTAAAAATGCTACTAGTTTGCTAATTCAAACAACTTTGTATTTTCACTAATAACAAAGTTACTAATGGTGGACACTTAATTTGGATAACCCTGTATACTAAGTGACATATAAATCCGAACACCCAGTTTAAATGGTTTTATTTTAATAAAAGTTGGTGAATGTATTTATCTTAGTGTAAATAACAAGTGAAAAATTTTTCAGCCTTATCAGTTGGACATTCCGGTTTTTATACTGCTTTTTTTTAATTCACTAACGCTCTAAAAATGAATATTTCAGCCGCAGTAAAGAATCAACGTTAGCGGATTTTGGTTCTTGACATCCTTTACGATCGGTTACGATGCCTAGAGTACGGAGACCTGTACGATTTCGTCAACTTAGTGAGTTTGATAGGGGCCGTATAGTGGGACTTCGGGAAGCTGGACTTTCTTTTCGGGCAATTGCAGTTAGAGTGCAAAGAAGTGTAGACACTGTGGTTAGGTGTTGTCAGGCATGGCTTCGAGAAGGCCGTACGCAAAGAGCAAGGGGCACTGGACGCCGCCGTAGAACTACAGACCGTGAAGATCGCCGCCTAAGATTATTGGCCTTAAGGGACCGTTTCTCCACTACCAGGTCCATTGCAAATGAATGGTTTGCAGAACACGGAAGAGCTATTGGCATGCGAAGTGTTTACCGACGAATGAGAAGTTTTGGCTTGTTTTCATACCGGCCACACTGGGTCCTCCCTTTAACTCGAAAACACCGACGTAATCGCCTTGAGTGGTGCAGACAACGGTCACTCTGGGATCAGGAATGGAACAGTATTGTCTTTAGTGACGAGTCTTGATTTTGTTTAGGCATGCACGATGGTCGTGCCAGGGTTAGAAGGCGACGTGGTGAAAGGAGGAATCCACAGTTTTTTGTTGAAAGACATGTTCATCACACTGTTGGAGTTATGGTTTGGGGTGCTATAGCTTATGGTTCCAGGTCACCTTTAATCTTCATCAGAGGTAACATGAACGCGCAGCGTTATATCCACGAAGTTCTAGAACCCCATCTTTTACCCTATCTTGACACCCTGGCAGATCCAACTTTCCAACAAGATAATGCCCGACCACATGTTGCAAGAGTCACAATAGACTTCTTTCAACATAATGATGCCACATTGTTACCATGGCTACCAAGATCTCCCGACTTATCCCCAATTGAGCACGTGTGGGATATGATGGGTAGTAGATTGCTCAATTTGCAACGTCCTCCTCAGACTCTAGAAGCACTTCGAGAGGAGTTGGTGGTTGCCTGGAATGAGATACCACAGGAGGACATTGACCACCTGATCAGAAGCATGCCTAGGCGCGTTCGAGAATGCGTAGCACATCAGGGTGCATCCACACATTATTAAAGGTCAAAGGGCTTTAAAGCAGTGCAATCATTTTGAAATTTTTATCATTTACTTATTATGCTTCATTAAGTACTTATACAAAATTTTATTAAAATAAAACCATTTAAACTGGATGTTCGGATTTATACGTCACTTAGTATATAACAGAGATATGATATTAATCATTCAACCAATTCCTTTTATAATAAAAATCAGCGTTCACAAGAAACGTTCATCTACGCCTAGCTTTAGAAAGTCGACACCTGCTACTCACTTAATACAATAGCTTGAAATTAGTAAACATGAAATATTGGGAATTCAGCGTGTACGCCCACGTCCTCGTGTCTAAAAGTTGCGTCTGTCATGATCTATGATTTATATCTTTCAAGAAAAATGTAAATTGTTTAATGGCTCTTAATTGTTACACAAGGCCGGCAAATTTAGATGGTACTTGATATAATGATACATGAATATCGTGGAGATTACTTGCTATTGTTAATTGTAATGATCATAATGTGGTAGATGTCAAGTTTGAATACTTCTTGTAGGACTTCTCAAACAAAATAGGATGCAGGATAAGAAGTCTACGAGGGTGGTCTGAATAGTTTCCTACCTCAACGTGAAGAGGGCAACACTCGTGAATGAAAGCTAGTGAATCTCGTTGTCAATCTCCTGTTGACAGTTACTCACCAAGGTTTCAGCCATTTTGGACACGCAGTTGTTATGTAACAGTTGTTTGAGTGAGTTGATGTACGTGTTTTTGTGAAAATGGACAACATCCAGTATCGAGCTGTCATTAAATGCTTGTTTTTGAAAGGAAATACGCCTACGCGCGTATGGGGACTCTGCACCATCATTTATCACATTAAAATTTTGAGCAGCTGAACTTGAACGTGGCCGAAAGAGCTTGGGGGACGACGAACGTTCGAGTCGTCCAAAGTTCACTAAATGGTGAGAGAGATAGCAGAGGTCATGAACATGTCAAAAGAACGTGTTTGTCACATATTAAATCAACATTTAGGCATGAGAAAGCTGTCCGCGCGTTGGGTGCCGCGTTTGCTCACGTTAGACCAAAAACGTGTTCGAATGAACATTTCCCTGTTGGTGCAGTTTAGGCGCAACAAATCCGAGTTTAGGCGCCGATTAATGACTGTAGATGAAACTTGGATACACCATTATATGCCTGAAACAAAAATACAGTCGAAGCAGTGGACTGCAGAGGCGGAGCCGGCTCCAAAAGAAGCACAAAGTATTTTTTAGGATAGTCATGGAGTTATTATAATCGATTATCTTAGAAAGGGAAAAACCATTACAGGAGCATACTGCGCATCATTACTTCAGACTTGTCAGACCACCCTCGTATAGCATAAACGTTTTTTTGCCAGGGAAAGCTTTTATAGACCTTCTTCTGCAGAAAAGTTCAATAGATGCCTTCTAACAGCCAGAAGTGTCTACCTAGCCATGAAAAAAATAATTGGAACACACAAGCATAATATGTCTAATAGTGGCATGTGCTCTAACCTTACTTGCAAAATTTGAGTGAAGTTTTATAATTAGCTTCCAATTTATAAACTGAATTGAGTAAAGTTAAGTAAATTAACGTATCGCGGTATAATATAATTTCTCATCCAACCATCGTATTACACAATACAATTTTTGTCAAAACAGCCTCGATGAGGGCGTGAATCCAAAGATGAAAGCTTTGGGCTTACATATCAAGTCAATGGAGATTTTTTCACATATGGCCTAACGTTGGTTCTGAGGTGAATAAGAAAAAATGTGTGGAAATTGAAAAAGTTAACTTGTGACGGATAACAGCTTCACTTTTTCCTCTCAATAAGACTTTTGTTTCGCAAGAAAAAGTTTTCCCCGAAATTCCAATGCCGAAGGCGTTTGGTACCTTTAGCTTGGGAGGCCTTGATATTTTACTTTACAACAAAAAAGCGAGATATACTCGTATTCAACTTTGAACATGAAATTTTCCTTCAAAGTTTTACACTGAAGCGGAGGCACATATATTTAGGCATTGAATACGAGAAGGTAAACCATTTTATTTATTTATTTAACCAACCGGTAAAACCCTTGTTACAAACACAAAACAGTCTTGATTTTAAGATTACATTTTAATCCTCTTATCAATTTGTTTAAACTCATTAACAGAGGTTCCAAGTACTTCTAAACTAGCTATTTATCTATTTACCTAACCTAAGAAGATCAGTTATGGGTTCATTCAAACCATAATCTGTTTATTTAAAGGGGGTAAAGAAGATTAAGTGGAATTTTTCTTACTGTTTTTTTTTTTTTTTTGTCGATCGGTTTGGCATTGGAAGTTATCCATTTGCCACAGATGTGTGTTACTATTGATCTAAAGTTTAATTGTGAGCTAAACGTTCATTTTGATTCTTTGGAAGAAGTTTACCAAGCAATCTAGGATTTGCTTGTCACCTATGCTTAAAAGGGAGCTTATATTGGTGGGGAGTTGATATTTGGATTTCAGTATATCAATAAGAACTATGCGTTCTTGATTGTATTTTCCGCAAGCAAAAATAATATGATTTAGATCTGCAATTGATGCACTATCGCAATCGCATACACAAGTATCCAGAATGCCTATCCTATTGAGATGAGCAGGAAATCTTCCATGGTTTAGCTTCAAACGAGTGATGGTGACTGAATAATGTCTATTCACATTATACTCAAAAATATGTGGTATTTTTTTAGGCAATGTAGGATGGATGAATGAATAATGGTTATTAGATGATTCGGCAAAATGATTCCAGTGCACTTCCCATTTTTTTCTTATTTCCTTCTTTCCAGCGTTGACTACATCATAGTATTCGAGTTTGTTATTGGTAAAATTTATTAGATTGGTTGCCTGCTTTGCTAAGATATCCACAGCCATGTTTCCGGTTATCCCAGCTGTTGAGGACAATCAATGTGACGATTGATAATTCTGTGCAAAAAAGTAAGTAAAATTTCAACCTGAGTCGCTCAAGAAAAGTCATATTCATCTAGAGAAGAGTATCGGTGTGACTATTTCCTCTCCAATGGAACCCATCTTATATCCACAGATTCTCAAGAAATTTTTCAGCACACGCTCCAATTGATCGATCTGTAAGTTATAACTTAGGGAGCAGATGAAGCAGCAATGCTCAAGTAACGATAAAAAACTAACATCTTATATAAACAGTTGATTGTTTTTCCAATATGTACGTTAAATGATAATTTTGAATCGAAAATATCTCACAAGTCCTTGGTCTGGTCTGCAGTTTGTAAAGATCTACCGTTGATGCTATAAGAATAAAGAATATGAGAACGAGACCCACTAAAATGCAATTTTGAAATATTTAGCATCATTTAAAAGTACAACATTCACTTCACACCAACGAGAAATATGGCCTGACTCACTTTGTAGCAATTGAGCATCATGTTTGTTTGGGATTTTATTCTAAAAGTTTTAACATCATTCGCAAATAAAAGAATTTCACTGAGTACGAGGGATGTCTTTTAAGTTTTGCATATGGAAATAGAACAACAGGGTAGGTGGTTTTAAATGACTTTATTGTTTTTAGAAGTATTCTCCACGAAGATTAATACACATATGCATGCGCTCGAATCAATTTTCGAATCACTTATTCCACTCGTTTGCTGGCAGATCCAAAACGGCATTTTTAAATGCGTCAACTGCTTCTTCTGGTGACTGGAACCTTTAATCACGCAGTCTGTTTTTAATTTTCGGGAAAGTAAAGAAATCGTTAGGACTTAGATCGGGACTATATGGAGGATGGCCCAATAATTCTACGTTTTCTTCCGTTAAATACTGCCTTGTTTTTTGGGCTGTGTGCGAGCTTGCATTGACTTTGTGGAGGATGATTCTTCTTTGGGGGTTGATTTTTCGAAGCTCGGTGATGACTTTTGGCAAACAAATGGTGGTATACGAATCCGCAGTGACAGTTCTTTGCTCATTAAGAAGTATTGTTGCAATATGACCCGCTTTTGTCACAACTGTCGCGACCATCTCTTTCGAAGCACTTCGAGAACGGATGACTTTTGTTGGCTTTTCTTCACCTTGGAACACAAAAACAGCCGACTGTCGGTTATTTTCTGGTTCATAACAGTAAATAGACGATTTCTCACCACTAACAATGCTGTACACATTTTTTGAGTTTCCGAAATTGACACCAATTAACCCTGGCTGCTTTCTGCTCTTCAGTCAACAGGTGGGGTATCCAACGAGAAACTATTCTTCTTACTCCTAATTCTTCATGTAAATTTTTTTAAATTGAGGTCTTTGAGATCTTCAAGCACGCCTCAATCTCGCGATATGTCACATGTCTATCTTCAATGATGACTTTGCGCACAGCATCGACGTTTTCCTGGGTGACTGCCGTTTTTGGTACACTCACCCTGGAATCTTCGCTAAGACTCACCCGTCCACGTTTGAATTCTCCATACCAACGGGAAATTGTCGACTGATGTGGCGCTTTGTTGCCGAAAACAGACAGTAACTCAGCAAGGCATTTTTGTTGCGATAATTGTCTCTGAAAGTTGTAATAAATTATGGCGCGAAAATGTCCTCGGTTGAGTTCCATTTTTCTAATGAGTTGGTAACACTTAAAAATTCACTGTAGTGAGAACACTGCACGAATTGTTGTGAAACTTTGAATTTAAGTTTACTAAAGAGTGAGGTTAAGATTCAGTACTGACGTTCGATCCGCGCGGCGTACTATGTTTCTATATACAAAACTTAAAAGACATCCCTCGTAATAAGCTCACAAGGTTATTAATAAACATATTAAATAACAACGGACCTAAGTGGTAACCCTGCGGGACACCAGATGTTACACGAATACTTGAGATGTACACCCACCATATCTTACCATCTGGGATCTATCAAATAAGTTTTGAAATAGATATTAAAATTTCTATGAATCACCTCATATAATTCTGCACGTTTAAGATTAATTTGAGCTAATGTTAAGTCCTCCTTTGGGAATTAGAGGGTTCTAAGTAATCGAAAGTCCTCCGATATTCCGAATTAGTGGTTGCTAATGAACATGTTAAATACACTTTTTTAGATATTTAAGTATTAAATATGGTTTTATTTCAACAAATAATTTCATGTCGACTTAAGTGCTTCAAACAAATTGAATGCATTATGTCACAAAGAAAGTAGGTGGCAAATTCTCACCAATTAATGCTATGGTCAAATAAAGACTGAATGTTAGTTACATAATCTTAATTCAAAAATTTGGATTCAATTTAGGTGTGGTTATACCTCAGTGCTTCTTAACTTTCCTACTACAAATGATATTATCTTTTTATTGGTTTTCAAGTTAGAATCGTGTGGTTTTGGGTTTGATATTGTTTACTATTATAATTCTCTTACTCATAATATTGATATATTTTTTTCATGTTACGCCTACGCCTACGGGCGAAGAAGTAAAATTTCGAAAATGAGATATGGTTTTTTGGATATTATGTGATATATATACACAACGAAAAACCTTGTCTGTTGGTCTGGCCACAAATCCTTGACCCGTCTACAACTTGTAAAGTAGTGCCCGTATTTGGACTAAATTTCCACACAAGGTTACTACTATGCCAAGGTCGAAAAAGCTTTGTAGATTTTGAGAATCGGTTCGTTCAGTAGCGGCGAAGCTAAGGGTAAAAACAGAAAAGAAATAAGAGTCGATTTAACTTAGTTTTTTGATGTTTCAGAAGCTTCCGATCATTTTTAGAAAAAAATTTGTAAGGGTTAAATATTGCGGTTTTGGTGTCCACAGAATCCTGTCCAGATGTCAGATGGTCGATACTTCCAGTAAGAGCAGGGAAGAACCTTCTAGATCGTAGCGTTATCAAATGACTAATTGTGTGGACCTGGTTGGCTGACTTGATCCATTTAATTCTTTTCGGTATTATTCATATTCGTAATAAACTTTTTTTCTTAGAATAACTGATGACAGAGATGCTCGGAAGTGCAGAGTCAACCTACGTGACGCCATTTTTGTAAGTTGATGAGATCTCACATTTTGAAAGTTGCTCGATCATTGTAAGTGACAAACATTGTTTTAAAATACATTATGCGTGACGTTTGACAGTGCAACAAAATTTTAACTATTCTCAAATTATGCACGTTAGGTTTAATCTTCAAAAATACGACCGTCATCATATCATATAATTTTATTGTACATGGATATTAAAGTTATGACACATGTTAACATGCTGGACGGTGACTGATGAAAGTACAAAATGTTAGCTTTAATGCTTTTACCAAAATTAAATCGTAAAGCTGACGTGACGTATACATCGACTATTAAATTTTTTATGTTACAATAAATCCAGGTTTTCGGTATGAGATAGAAATACAAGGTACCAAATACTTTTATTATGTCTGCTGGGAAAAATATGGTAGTGAGAGGATGATTATATTTAAAAATTAAGTCAAGCGTGAAGATGCTTAAAACATTCAAATTTTCCCACAAGGGCAGCGGCATGAGCCTCAATATACGTGATGTCCTATGTAAAACTACAGCGAATCATTGCTTAAAAAAAAGTTGACGTAAGACAGTATAAAAGTTTTGATTGATACTAAAACTGACGGAAGCGATTTGGCTAAAATATTTTCATAATGGTGGCATTTTTGGTTGTACCGGAAGTAGATACAAACTTGCTTACACACTACTCTATTTTATACAATTTTTGGATTCTTCGTAATTTTATAGATACATTTCATGTATATCATTCTGCATACAGGGTGTTTGAAAGGTCAATACAAAGACTTGGGGAAGAGATAGGGCAGACCATTTAGAGTATTTTAAGCCGAACATACCTCAGTACAAAGTCTTACGCCGGTTTTCGAGATATTCGGATTTTCAAATTTAAATCATAAATTATTTAACGAAACAAAATAAACTACTGAAATATGCTTATTAGTGTTCAATTGTTTCCAATACATGTTCGAGCTCTACGTGTTACTTCGGTAGTTGTTGTATTAAATAAAAAGCTTCCCGAATTTTTCTTATTAAATGCTCTCTTGATACGATTTCTTCAGTGTAAACTAACTGTTCAGCCCGCCCCCAGAGATAGAAATCCAATGGTGCCAAGTCCGGGGATCTAGCAGGCCACGGAATTGGTCCACCTCTGCCTATCCAGCTAATTGGAAAACTATCGTCCAAATATTGTCTTACGTCTAAACGGAAATGAGCTGGACATCCGTCGTGTTGGAAAATAATTTGCATGTCATCTCGAATTTCTACTCCTACAAGTAATTCGGAAAGATCATTTTGCAAATAGTGTAGATAACTGACGCCGTTTAATCTTTCAGGAAAAAATAGGCACCATTTAATCTTTGTTTTTTCCAGTGTGGATTTTCCTGCTTATCAGCCCATTGATGCAAATTGTGAAAATTTGTAATGCCCTCCTTTGAAAAGTTGGATTCGTCCGTCCATAGCTGTTCATTCTCAATGTCATTATGTAAGAGAAAACGACAAAATTGGCTTCTGCGAATAGGATCACGATCTTCAAGTCCTTGTACGCCGATACCATGAAAAGGGTAGTTTCGTTCAAAATTAAATAACGTATAGTTTTGGAATGTAACAGGCAGATCATTGTATAATTTAATAGCATTGTAGCTGAATGATGTTTTGTAGACAGCCTTAGAATGTAAGGGTATCACTAACATATTCCTATTCCTTGTATTCAGTTGATTTATGTCACTACATCGTGTTAACTTATTATGCAAATATTGTGGTGTTTGGTATCTAAAACCTTATGTGTGAGTGTCAATAAGTGAAGCTCTTGCATGCCTTTAATCTTAGGATACCAAGTTCCTTAAATTTATGAGAAATATGATCAAACTTTCGTATTCCGCAAGAAAATCTGATGCACGAATTCTGAATACGCTGTAATTTGCTTTGTTCACTATATGATAGAGCTGCGCCATATATACTGTCACAATAACTGATTTTTGATATAATTAATGTTTCACACAGTTTCAGCTTTACTGAAGTAGATATTATTTGCCTATGTGGATAAAACTGTTTCAAAATGCAGTATGATGCACTACATAACGAATTTACGTGTTTTTTGTATTTTAGTTCTGTGCCAATCCAGAGTCCCAGGTTTTTACACTCATTCATTATAGGAAGCCGGCAATCATAGATTTTAAGGTTAATTTCCGTTTCGATCAATGTTCTTTTGTTTTTTGAGCCGAAAACCATAACTGAAGATTTAGATGGATTAATTTTTAGGTTATGCGAGCACGAGATGTCTACTAGCCTTGTTAAGTCTTCGTTGAGCAATGCTTCTGCAATTTTAAAATCTTTGTGTTGGAAACTAAAATAAATTTGAGTATCATCAGCATAGTGATGGATTGTGCAATTATGGACATATTGATGGAAATACGATATATATAGAGAGAAAAGTAAAGGTCCCAGTTTGGAACCTTGTGGAACACCAAAACTTATAGCAGTTGACTGTGACATTTTCGAAGCTGTTAAGACCTTTTGATTTCTATTTGACAAATAGCAGCTTATCAAATTGACTGCAGCATCAGTAAAACCATAGTAAGACAGCTTAAGTAGCAGAATTTCAGGGTCTATCATATCAAAAGCTTTTGTGTAATCCAGCAGAACTAAACAAGTATGATCAGTATCACAAAAATAGGAAAACATGTATTTATTATTAAATTTGTTTTCAGCCAATTTCTTTTTCTTTTCTTTAACTTCGGAGAGAAAAAAACACTGTCAGGTATTTAAAAACTATTTTATATAGCCTGATGTTCTTTCAGTGATAACAGGAACCAAAGTAATATTTTTTTTCAATAAAAATCAAAATTTCGAATAACTCGAAAACCCTAAGACTTTGAACTAAGGTATTTTTGGCATAAAAGCTTCTGAATGGTCTGACCTATCCACTCTCCAAGACTTTTTATCGACCTTCCAGACATCTTGTATATGTCTAAAAGTTTTTGAGATATCTCAAATTTTGTATAAAAAAATGACAAATGCAGGCCAATGCATTATAAGAATTTTTTTGATTTGTAGAGGTTTCTCATAGCTCAGTACATAGACTAAGTGACATATAAATCCGAACACCCAGTATAAATGGTTTTATTTTAACGAAAGTTGGTGAATGTATTTATCTTACTGTAAATAACAAGTGAAAAAATTTTCAGCCTTATCAGTTGGACATTCCGGTTTTTATACTGTTTTTTTTTTTAATTCACTAACGCTCTAAAAATGAATATTTCAGCCGCAGTAAAGAATCAACGTTGGCGGATTTTGGTTCTTGACATCCTTTACGATCGGTTACGATGCCTAGAGTACGGAGACCTGTACGATTTCGTCAACTTAGTGAGTTTGATAGGGGCCGTATAGTGGGACTTCGGGAAGCTGGACTTTCTTTTCGGGCAATTGCAGTTAGAGTGCAAAGAAGTGTAGACACTGTGGTTAGGTGTTGTCAGGCATGGCTTCGAGAAGGCAGTACGCAAAGAGCAAGGGGCACTGGACGCCGCCGTAGAACAACAGACCGTGAAGATCGCCGCCTAAGATTATTGGCCTTAAGGGACCGTTTCTCCACTACCATGTCC